AAAAAAAAAAATAAAAAAAAAAAATATGATGATATATATATATATATATATATGATATGTATATATTTATATATATATATGATAACATAATGACTTTCATACACATATAAAATGAACACTTGTCAAAGATTTCATTCAACGTATTAAAGATGGAACAGTAAGAAACTCCAACCAATTCAAAGAACAATTTAAATCACACATACATACAGGCCATCTTGAATACCAAAATTAATTTGTTTAATAGATACAAAACTGGCTTCTTCCACAAGGGAGGATGGGAGGGTCAATTGTACTCTGCAGGGTGAAATTCATTTTCATGTCCATGGACAAGAATCATTTGCATTGTTGCCATCAGCTATCTACAGCTTACAGAACTGGAAAATAGTTCATAGACAATGAAAGACCGAAATGATCCCTAAGGATAAGCTTTCCTGGCCATTTCAAAGTCTTGTGAAAAGTTTGTGTCAGTGGCATTTGAAATGACTCTAATGCTCATTCATCCAGCTTCGTGTCTTTTCAGATTCATTTCTGGCTTCCAGTCCTGAAAATGATTGGGAAGAAACAAATGGACACTGCCAGTGAAGACAACCCATGAGAGGCCCTATGCAGCTCCTCAGCCAAACTGTTCCAGCAATTCTCCTTAAGTCTACTGATCGTGACCCTCGTGGCCCAGCAACAGAGAACTACACTGCATGGTCCTTCAGCGGTTTGAGGTTGCAGGGCCAAACTACTTTTTTTCATAAGGGCCAAAGGGCTACCAGATAAATTGTTGTGTTGTCTGTCTCGCAAACAAGGCACACGATCTGGACTGTATCTCAGTGTAACGGCACTATAACCAGGCCCTTCGAGGAGAGACTCAGCATAGAGTAATATTCAAAGAAAAAGACAGAAAAAAATTGGAAAAAATCAAAATCTCTACTGCAGGCTCACAAACAAATATCAAGGAGAACATATATGTATGATGCCAGCAAAATATCTTTAAATGCTTCTATCCCTTCTCTGCCCTTCTTAATAGCCTTCATAGCTATTTCCTACCCACAACTGTCTGTCCTTCCCCTGCCCCCTTATTCAAGAACTCTTTCCAAAACCCATCTCCAGCAGCTCCTAATTTCTTCTCACCACCTCCTCTGTTCCTATCCTCTACTTTCTGGATCTCTTTTGTTTTTCCTTTTCTACCAAAGCCTCTAGCCACATTTATTTAGAGAACACATTTATTAAAATCATATGAGAGGCTTCCTACAATGTGCATCTTGGGCCTCTTTTTCACTATAATCAATGTACACTCTATAGTACAGGGGTCTATTTCCCCTATATTCAAAATACCTAAGAGGGAAAAATACTGATTCTATTATCTCTAAAGTGCCAGAATGGGAAGAAATGAAGAAACATTAAAATTTTTGAAACAGTTTTTTAACTTTTCATCTTGAAAATGTTTCAGCCTTACAAAAAAGTTGCAAAATAGTAAGTACAGTGTTCCATTTACCCATCACCCCTCATCCCCGAACATTAACATCTTACCTTACCATAGCACAATTGTCAAAACCAGGTAAATAACACTGAAAAATGCATAATCTACAAAACTCATTGGATTTTCACCAATTGTCCCACTAATATCCCACTAATGTCCCAAGGACTAGTCCTTGATCCAATCCAGGCTCATGCGTCGCATTTGGCTGTCATGGTTCCTTAGTCTTGTCCAGTCAGGGACAGTTCCTCAGTCTGTCTTACTTTTTCTTTCATGACCTTGACATTTCTGAGGAGTGCTGCCAGTTATTTTGTAAAATGTCCTTTGCTTTGGGTTTGTCTGATGTTTCCTTATAAGTAAACCCAGGTAATGTATTTTTGGGCAACAATACTACAGAAGTGCTGGCATGCTCTTCTCAATGCATGAGATCAGGGGTATGTGATGTTAATATGTCTCATTACTGGTGAGGTTACCTTTCTTCACTTAGTTAAGATGGGGTCCGCAGATTCTTCCACTGTTGAAGTTACTATTTTCCTTTTGGAATGAATAAGTATATTGTGGGAAATACCTTCAGACTATGCAAACATCCTGTTTCTCATCATACATTTACCCTCTAATTTTAGCATCCATGGATGCAAAACTGTGCCAGCCAAATAGTGATTTTCTAGTTTAATAATACCTTCTACATTTTAAAATTGAAATTCTACACTCTCCCCAGAATGAAACATTTTTTTGAAGACCAAATTTTGTTTTGGGCACCAGAGTAGGCATTTTACACATACGGTCTCATTTATGTTTCATGACAATCCTGTGAGGTAGGTAGTATTATTTCTATTTTATAGATGGGAAAACTCACCCTCAAAGACCCTGACTTAGCTGGCCTGGGCTGGGGCCTGGGCACTGGCATGTTTAAAGCTCCCAGGTGATTCTAATAGTTGGCCAGCACTGAGAACCATCATTCCAGGAAGTTTTACTGAATTGCAGGTCTTTCAACACAGGTCTTCAATGGTGAAATTTCTCTAGCAGAAGGAGCCTACATTAGAAATCTGAGTCAGCATTTCCCAAAGTGTGTTCCTCAGACCCCTAATCCCTTAGTTGTTCCATAAAAGAGTTATATGATGTCAATAAATCCACACAATCTGCCTTCCAACCTTGAAGATTCATAATGCATGTTGGCATAATTTTAAAACTTTGAGAAACCCTATAATAAAGAAATCTCATTTAACCTGTTTCACCCAAAATTTTCTCAAATTATTAAACCATGGAACGATATTACCTGTAATAACTGTTAACAGCACATAGGACCAGTTCTACAGCCCATACTCTGGTAAATACTGATATAGTTGGCATAACTTTCAATCAAAAAAGATCTGAGAAGGTGAGGATGAATTTGTAGTTTTGGCTTATTTAAATATTCTGATGATTTTATACTTTACTGTGTTTTCTAAAGAAAACAAAACTGTGTTTATTAAAATTATATATTAATAAACTAATACAATATGTGATTTTTTTTTACTCATTTTGCATTTATTCCTCCTACAGGAAGGGATCTGCCCCACATTAACTAGGCAAAGAATCAACTGCTCAAGTTAGAATGCACACTCTCACCATACACAAAAATAAACTCTAAATGGCTTAAAGACTTAAACATAAGACATGACACCATAAAACTCCTAGAAGAGATCATAGGCAAAACATTCTCTGACATAAATTATACCAATGTTTTCTTAGGTCAGTCTCCCAAAGCAACAGAAATAAAAACAAAAATAAACAAATGGGACCTAATCAAACTTACAAGCTTTTGCATAGCAAAGGAAACCATAAACAAAACAAAAACACAACCTACAGAACAGGGGGTGGGGCGGGGGGGGGGAATATTTGCAAATGACAAGGGCTTGATTTATAAGCAGCTCATGCAGCTCAACAACAAAGAAACAAACAACCCAATCCAAAAATGGGCAGAAGACCTAAATAGGCATTTCTCCAAAGAAGAAATACGGATGGCCAATAGACACATGAAAAGATGTTCAACATCATTGACTATTAGAGAAATGCAAATCAAAACTACAATGAAATACCACCTCACACTGGTCAGAATGGCCATCATTAAAAAGTCTACAAATAACAAATGCTGGAGAGGGTGTGGAGAAAGTGGAACCCTCCTATGCTCTTGGTGGGAATAGAAGTCGGTGCAGCTGCTATGGAAAATAGTATGGAAGTTCCTCAGAAAACTAAAAATAGAATTACCATACAATCCATCAATCCTACTCCTGGGCATATATCCAGACAAAACTATAATTCAAAAAGATACATGCACCAATATGTTCATAGTAGCACTATTTACAATAGCCAAGACATGGAAACAACCTAAATGTCCATCAACAGATGAATGGATAAAGATGTGGTACATATATACAATGGAATACTACTCAGCCATAAAAAAGAATGAAATAATGCCATTTGCAGCAACATGGATGCAACTATCATACTAAGTGAAGTAAGTCAGAAAGAGAAAGACAAATACCATTTGATATCACTTATATGTGGAATCTAAAATATGACACAAGTGAACCTATCTATGAAACAGAAACAGACTCACGGACGTAGAGAACAGACTGGTGGCTGCCAAGGGAGAGGGAGTTGGGGGAAGGATGGAGTGAGAGGTTGGGGTTGGCAGATTTAAGCTATTATATATAGAATGGATAAACAACAAGGTCCTATTGTATAGCACAGAGAAGTATATTCAGTATCCTATGATGAACCATAAAGGAAAGGAATATTTAAAAACAGAATGTGTATATATAGGTATAACTGAAGCACTTTGCTGTGCAGCAGAAATACATTATAAATCAACTACACTTCAATAAAAAAATTTTTTTTAAATCAACTGCTCAAGTTTTAGAGAAAATTGGATCCTTTGGCCTTTCGAAATTCTACTAATTAACTAACTTACTTATTTACCTAAAAATATCACCAATATCTATGGCAAACATTTGAACAGGGCACACAGAAGGTGCTGGTGATACTCAGACAGCTCTCCTTGGTCCCTGCCTTTGGGATGCTTCCAATCTAGTCAGGAAGACAGACAGATGCTTAGACAAAAAATAACAATATGTGGTAGCTCTTGGTAAGTGCCAAGGGCACCGGGCAGGCAGTGCCTTTAGGGAATCATGGCCAGTTTCTCTGCCCTCGTCTATTACGAATGCCCAGTTTACCCCTCTTCTCTATGACAAGGGCACTGGAGGGGTTGGGAAAAGGGTCTTAATTTCCTTGAAACCAGACTACCTTTCTGAAGTAGCAGAGTCTCTGTTGTTTCTAACGGACCGTGACTTTGAACAGTTCTCGCCACTTCTGGAGAGTGCCCTGCTGTCTCTATCTGTTAGGCATGCTTGCCCTTACTCTGAAGTGCTTGTCCCTATTGGAAGGACAGACTGGCAAAGAGGTGCTGTCACAAAAGGCAATTTTGATCTTGAAAACAAGATTTAGACTTGCTCATTAGGGCCAATCAAACGTTGGGCATAAAATGCTTATTTAATTGCAGCTTATCCATGTTAGACTTAAACAAATGGTTAGTTAAATTTCTTGAGACATCTACTGTCAAGTGTGCTTTGTTAATCTTGTAGAGGAAGAAAGATATTGCCCCAGGTAATTTAATAGAACTTCCTTTTCACCTCTAATGTTAATGGCTTATAAAAGAGTATCACATTATGGTCTAAGTCACTATTTCTCATCTAACGAATCTCAGCTTGGTGGCTGTATTTTGTTATAAGCGTCATTATGATGTCCTCATTGACTCCATATTTGTTGTCAGTTACGTTTCTCTTTGACAGTAAGATACAGTAATTCTAAACACCTTCATAGTAATAGATCTCTTTTACTGTTCTACTCAGGAAGTAAAACCTTGTCCTTCCTCTTAGATCCTATATCTGCTGCTTTAGAACCAAATCAATCCTAATTATAATATGGGATATGTTGACATCTTCACACATCATATATTTTTGTCTTAATTCACCTAAGAGAAAGAAATTAAAATATCTTATTTCTTTTTTTTTGAATTTTTGAATTTTATTTTATTTTTTTATACAGCAGGTTCTTATTAGTCATCAATTTTATATACATCAGTGTATACATGTGAATCCCAATCGCCCAATTCAT